GGACTCAAACCATGGTCAACTAAGTGGGAGTCCAGTGACATGGCCATTATGCTAACTGCTGGTCCCCTCCTGCAATGATTATTGAGAGCATTTACACAGGAAAACACTCTCTGCCTATTGTCACCCCTTATCTTCCTGTTGTTGTTGACACTGGGTACAGGACACTGCAGGGCCTGAGGCTAAAGCAAGCTACAGTGTTTATCAGATTCTCCCCCAGGAAGATCAGAGAAATTACAAGGTGACAGTCATTTTCACGTCTTCAGACGATTTACATCCCAAAACAACTGGCTTTGCATTCCATTTCTTCTCCCCCCTTTCTCTTTTCATTCCATTTCCTCTGACCGCATTTTCTGCCCTTTAAAAGAATAACCCTGAGGCCAGTGGTTGCAACTTCTCCATCAGAGAAGCTGAGCCCACCGATCCTCGCTTTTCTATACTTGCATGTCTCCGTCTGTTTGCTATTGCATTTATTTCTAATCCACAGCCTCCCCCACTCAGAGAAACATGTTCAGCCGAGCAGGTCCTGGCAAGGCACGTGAGCTTGCTGGACAGAGACAGAGGACAGTGAGAGACAATGACAAAGAAAGTGAGAACCACACCCCTAGAAAGGGGGAATGGCCATGCTTCAATCCCTTCTCTTCCATTCTCCTCCTGAGAATTTGGGCATGCATTCACATGTACCTGATGTGATATTCAAGCCACCGGGTCTGGGACTTGAACTGCAGTCGACCATGTGGGAGTCAGCTCCCTTAACCACAATGCCCCCTTCTGGCCCCAAGGACTCTGTTTTGTTTAAGACTGGTCTGGCTGGGAAGAAAAGATAGCAGACATAATGTCCTAACTTACATTCTCAAAGGATAAGAAGTGCAGGACAGGATCTCCTGAAGTACATTTCCATTCTCTGAATATGTCACTTGATAAGCGCTAAATTATATCCCAGATTATAAAACTGTTCTTAAATGTTCAGGATATTGGGCCTAGTGTGGTGCTTAAGGCACCGGATTCGCCCATAGCTGACCAAGGTTGGAACCCAGGACCCAGTGGCTTGAAAATCATGCAAAGGTGCATGTGTGTGGCCATCTCCTGAGGTGGAGGATGATTTTTCACTTTCCCTCTCTCTGTCTCTCTGCTGTGTGAGTGACCTATGGCAAAAACCTTAAAAAAAAAAAAAAGTTCAGGATATTTATGATCAAAGCATTAGACTTGAAAAAGAAGTGGTAGAAAACCCTGATGCGTTTCCTCTGTGACTAGACGCAGCCACCGCGGTGGAGAGCAGCATACGAAAGAGCAGGCGGCACATATTCATCCTGACCCCTCAGATCGTGCACTGCCAAGACTTTGCCTATGAGCAGGGGGTCGCGCTGCACAGCGCCCTCATCCGGAATGACGCCAAGGTGATTCTCATTGAAGTGCGGGACCCCAGCCAGCCGGGCGGACTGCAGGTGGAGGAGCTGCAGGATTCCCTCAAGCACATCATGAAGGTGCAAGGTACCATCAAATGGAAGGACGACCACGCCGCCAACAAACGGTCCCTGAATTCCAAATTCTGGAAGCACGTGAGGTACCAAATGCCGGTGCCCAGCAAACTCCCCAGAAAGACGTCGAGTTTAATGGCCTTGAATGCCTTGGAGCATTAATGCTGGCTTTGATGGACTAACCCGCCTCAGTTCCTAGGTCTGCCGAGTCCTCCTGGCCAGATTAGTGTCTGGACTGGACTAGGAGGCTGAGGCCTGAGAAGTAGGAACGTCAAGGGCATTCAGAGGTCAGGTTTCATCTAGTGACTTTACTCCTATTTTTCTGGTTTTATGTGGATGTGAAATGCCCAGAAATTTTTATCCTTGATCCTCCTACTTCAACTCTGTGGCCTCTTCCACTTTTTTTTTTTTTGGAGAGGTTTTTGCTATAGGGCACGTGCACTCACCAGACAGACAGAGAGAGACATAGAGACAGAAAGCGAGAAATCACCCCCCGGGGGGGAAGGTCACGCCGCAATCCTTTCTCCTCCATTCTCCTCTCGAGATCTTGGGCTCGCACACACATGCACCCGGCATGAGTTTTAAGCCACCGGATCTGGGACGTGAACCGCAGTCAACTACATGGGAGTCCAGCAACATAGCCATTATGCTAACTGCTGGTTCCCGGTCTCTTCCACCTTTTGCTAGTCTTTCTCCATTGTCACATTGGATCTTTTAAACCTTTTTTAAGGGAGAGTAGTGCTATTAGGCACATGCAATCGCCAGAGAGACAGAGAGAGATAGAGAGACAGAGAGAAGTCACCCCCTGGGGGTGGAGGGCACACCACAATTCCTTCTCTATTCTCCTCTCAGGATTTTGGGCACACTTGCACATGCACCTGTCATTTGTTTTGAAGCCACTGGGTCCAGGACTCAAACCATGGTAGGCCATGTGGGAGTCCAGCGATATAACCATTATGCCATCTGCGGATCCTGTCACATAAGACTTTTTCACTAAATCACTTTCCTGTCTCTTTCTCAATTTTTTCTCCTCATTCTTCATCAATAATGTATATTCTGACCATCAAACTAAAAGTTTTAAATTAAATTTGCATGTCATCTTGAGGAATGTGGATTCCCACAGGCCAAATGCCAGTTGCAAATTTAATTCCCAGTGTGCCAGAATGTCTTTATTATATTTCTCTTGATCAGCCGCTCAGTTGTATCCTCTCAACATTGCCAGTTTTGTTAGACTACCTTATCCCAATTGCCATTCGAATCAAGCTTCTTTCAGTTCTAAAATTTCCTTCATGTACTTTTATTCTTTTAAAAAAATTACTTTCTCACTGAAAAGTGAGAAGCATGTTCCAGAACAGAAAGTATAAAAGATGAAAATAACAAAAACCAGAATTCCACAATCTTAAGATTATTTTGATAAATACTATTCTAGTTTTAAAAATATTGATTCCTACATACACATACCATTTTTTTTAAATAACTCAGTTTATGTCACATGGAGTTTTGCATTTTTTCTACTTAACATCATAATGAAAATGCTTGGCATGCCATTGAAATCTTTTAACATTTAAAAATATCAAAAGTGTTCCATGTCGTGACTGTGCTACTATAAACACAACCATTTAATGTTTATTTATATATGTGTGTGTGTATATATATATATTCTTTTTTTTTTTTTTTTAGAAAGAGAGATTTTTGCTCTCAGGTGCATGTACTTGCTGGAGAGACAGAGAATGAGAAATTATCTCTCCAGAAGGGATGACCACACTGCAATCCCTTTTCTTCCATTCTCCTCTCAGGATTTTGAGCTCACGTGCACACAATACTAGCATGTACGAGCATGAGTTTGAAGCCACTGGGGCTGGACTCAAACCAGTCAATCACATGAGAGTTCAGTGCCTTAACTACTACGTCACCTGCTGGCCCCTAATGTTTATTATAAATAATTCTGCAAAGGCCATACCAAGATATCGTATATCTCTCAATTAAAAAAGAAAAAGAAAAAAAGACTTTTTCAAGGGAATTCTGTTTGCTATAGCTTTTTTTCTTTTCTTTTTTTTTTTTTAATGAAATTTGTAGGGCATTTTTGCAGATTGTTTAAGGACAATGGAGTTAATTTGTACTTTTGGGGCTTCTCCAGTCAGTACCCTGGAGTCCCCCAGGAACCCATCAGTGGATCCAGAGAGCTAAGGAGAGTGTCCCTTTTGATTATGAGCCGAGCTGGTGTCTCAAATTTTGCAAGCTTTGATGGAGATCCTGTTCTCCACACAGCTGCCTCATAAAGCCCAGGATTTGGTATTGAGCTGAGGAAAGAAATTTGAGTTCCGGACTCTTGGCAGGGAATGTAATCTTAAACTCACTGTCAGTCAGTTCCTTCTAGAATCCTGACTGAAGAGAAACCAAATTTCTAGAAAGTTGTTTATTGGAGCTAAAGTTACCAATCTTTTAGACACTTTATATTTTTAATTTGCATTCTCAGTTGGGTTGCCAGATAACATACAGAAAAACAGTTAAAGTTGAATTCAGAAAAAAAAAAATTTCATCTGGCATTGATCTGAAATTCAAATTTACCTGTTTCTTCTTATTATTATTTATTATCATTATTA